TAGGCAATTTGTTCTACAAAACCCTTGAAAGTAGGCAACCCACAGGAAATCGACCCCTCTGTCAGACGGACTTAAAACCGCACCTGTTTTGACCTCCAGCGCGTAACAATACGGGAGCGTTTGCGTGTGGAGCGGCATCCGGCATCCTTGTGACCAGTATGACGCCCTGAATCAAATCTTTGACGCAGTATCAAAGTGAGTCAGTCATCAAAATAGATGACTATTTTAACGTCACGGTGACAGTCGACGTCTTAAGTGCCTACTTGGAAAGTGCCCTTTACACGCAGGAGATGGTCGGATGTCAGCCGTCTACGATCGCGTACTGCTCGACTCTAGATAAGATAAGTCCTTCATAGCCAACTATGATCCTGACGTCGGTCTCAGAGCCCAGCGGACGCACCTGCGTTCCTCTAGAGTACCCATGCGATATTGATCCTTGCAGACTGTTTAGTTTGAGGACAGTGAATGGCTTGCCATAAGCCGCAATCTGATCATGCGACTAGATCCTCCATAGACCTCAGGCCATGGCGGCAATTACGGTGTGTTCGGTTTTTTGAGGGTGTATTGGTAATCAGAAACGAAACAACACTGTAATTCAACGAATGTGACGTCACATTCGTTTCAATGTGAATTGTGTCACGTTCGTTTAAATGTTGTGTCACATTCGTTTAAACGTGAATCGGCCAATGCCTGGGCCCATTTGAGCATTAATTCACGTGAAGTCACGTTCAAATGAATGTGACACAATATTCAAACGAATGTGACACGTTTCACATTGAAACGAATGTGACGTCACATTCCTTGAATAACAGTGAAGGATGGTCTGGATAGTGAGGCGACGTTGTTGTATGTAGTACTAGGTAGATGTACGCCAGACCACGTCTCGCGTAACAGGCTTCGCGATATCTCACGAAACACTGTTACGCTGCGACGCGCCTGGCACACATATACCTAGGCCTGCGGCGCTGACACCCGAGTCGGGCAAAGGGCACAGTCGTCAATAGGCCTTCGGCCCCAAAAGTCACTAATTTTGTTCCTCGGGGTTTCAGTTTGATTAGTTACCCCACCGCAAACCATCAAAGATCAGAGAGTAATCATTAAACTATTTGGGGTCATTTTCGTGTGGGAAAACGCCCTCTGGCGCCCAAACGGTTAAAGATAGAGCCAAACGGACAAAATTTTGGGGTCAAGAGTTCTACCTGTACGAGTCATCCATTTAAAAGATGTTAGTAAAGTATGTTTTAAAAGAATGCTTTAGGCTTTTTGATTTTTTTGACACGTAAATTTTTGAGCCAGAGGGCTCAAAATCAATACAGTTCTTCCTTTTTTTGATACAAGTTAGAATAAAGAATTGAGCCTTCTACCTCAAACCGTGCTCGAGTTATGGTGCGAACAGACAGACAAACAAACAGACAAATAGACAGACGCGAAACTTTTGAGCATCACTGGAGTAATAGGCTTCGCTAATCGCTCAGCCAACTAAGTACACCGAAAAAAAATTCTTATGGAAAGAAAGGCGCATCCATCAAAGCCTGCATCATATCACAAAGCTGTTATGTGGGCACATTGCAATCAGTCCAATATCATCAAATTCCAATCAATCCCCACACTGATAGATAAAGTGTGCAACTGGCGTGCACTTTCAGGTGCTCAACACCATGCTGCACCATGCTGCACACTTTTATGTGTTTGACTGGATATTTTAATACTAAAAAGCGTTAACACTAAAGTTACACACTTAAAACTGTGGTTTGCCATTAAGGTTTTGACACTCTAAAGTGTTCAAATTTACTGTTGAACACTTTTAAGTATTCAAATTTCCCGTCTAACACCTGGGTATGTCCATCATAGAGTTGAGCACTACTTACTTACTTATCCAAAACGAAATTGTACATTTTCACCATGTCAGTCGCGTTTCTTACACTCTTTCCCACACTACAAAATGTAACGTTCGCGAAATTTTCCTTTTGGCCGAGCTATCATTGCGAGTCGTACATGAACAACCTCCCACTCTTGCTTGTTAATCGATTCCAAGTCTATACGCAGGGCTTGTAAATTTTTCATGTAAAATTTTGAATTAGAATTGGACATGTTTCATGCAAGATTTTACAGTGCCCTGTACTACAAATTTTCACACTTGTAATGTGGCACATATCACATTAGTTTTTCTACTGTTTAAATTTATGCCAATCTGCCGCCGGCAGGTTAAAGCGTGAATTTTTTAAAAATATACTGTGCGCAACCCTTACGTGTAAAATCCTGCTACTTGTTCAAATTCTTTTAAAGAGTAATTGTTTCTTCTGTGTTGTTTTTAGATGGGTATCGTGGACGTTCGCCAGCCTTTGGCCGACCATGAAGGCCGTCCGCACCGCCTGGACCAGGGCCTGCAGAGCGGCGTCTGGCGCCATGATCTGATGCAGGAGGTGGCGCCGGACCTCCCCGTCGTGCCCGGCCCGCTCTCCGAGTACAGGCAGCAGGCGTCCTTTGACTGGAAGCAGCTTCGCATCGCCCTTGAGGACCCGGAGATTCTGCGTATCAAGGTAATTCTTGTTGGGTCTAACGCAATGTAAAGCACCCACACTCTTGAATTCCTGTGAACAATTTGGGCTGCTTCGTAATTGCGATCCAATTGCGAAGTGTAGTGACAAGGAAATTCTTTTTAATTGTGAAAAAATGCTTACGTCGTAGGCTTACTAAAATCCTTTGCAGGATATTAGTCATATCCGAGTAAGCACGAAGAACTCTCTTTGGACTCATTTCATGTCATTTAGTTTTTGACTGTCATGGAGAGTGACTTCCCGCTAGAATTAGACCGATATGCAAAGTTTGGAAAGAAAGTTGTCACCATGAGAAAGTTTTACAGTCAAAACTGCAAATGACTTGATGGTGAGGGTTTAGGTTGGTGCGGTCAGTTGACGGTTGCACTGAACCACATGGCGCGGCCCATTATTAGCGATGGTCAGTCACAGGAAAGCGCTCCCGTGTGGCGTGAACCGGCAATCTCGAGTAATACGGTTCTTAATTAGGGAACTCCCTCTTGACGTCGTTAAATGACTGTTTCAACGACCCTGGAGGCAAAAAGTTTACACCAAAGATCGTAGGATAGCGGTTGATCCAACAAAAATGGAGTTACTTTTCGCGTACGACCATTAGCTTGAGAGGCATACCGATTATTGGGAAATACGCCTTAAATTCTCGTTGACCTGCAAACGTTAAGGAATAGAGTTAAACCCTACATTAGGAACAAAACGAGATTTTTTACTTAATATTTAAACCGTTTGGCGAAGGTTGTAAAGAACACAAGAACACAAACAATTTAATTTTGTGTGGACTTGGCTTGTTTGTTTTTTTCGAGGGTTTAATGTTTTTACTTGATCTTTACCTCCATTCTCACTACTTCTGTAATGAAGGTGGAATGACGAGTACTGTGCTCAGTCTGTTGTAATCAGTTATGCACTACACCTACAGCCTTCAGGATAGCAAAATGTCGGCTTTGGTCCGTTGACCAGTCAATATTGGAGGGTTTTTTCAAGTTATTACTCAAAATTTAAATTAATAGCGGAAATTGAAGTCGTTCAATACGATGGCTAAGCGCTAGGCGAAAAGCGCTTTTTTTTGCCACGAAAAAAATATAAACAAGAAAGTGTGCTTGTATTTAACACCCATTTGGTGTAGAACTAAAAATATTTTCGTCCTCACTCCTCACCAAAAGCGAACTACGGCGGCGTTTTCGTTTGAGTTTTGAAGAGCGGTGCTTTGTCAACAAGGCCAGCGATGTTTGAACCCTCACACCAGGTCTTAATTAGGCATTATCTAGAAAGTACGTCCGTTATTTGCCGTCTCAAACCAGCCAAGTTCAGCCTCTGCAAGATCTCATAGCCCCTGGTAGGTAGGCAACTTCTTGCCTGTAGAGTTTGCGTGTACAGCCGAGCTCCTGTAACTTTCGGAACCTGAGACTAAGGAACGTACTTTCTGGACGATGCCTTTCCCTATACCAAGAATATTTAAAGAATATGGGTTTGCTGCTCCTTTGTGTATCAATCATAGATTGATACTCTGGCTTCTTGTTACAGATGAACTTGTGGAGAAAGCTGGAAGCCGACCCCGTTTTTGCACACCCAAGAGTTACTCCCCCGATGGAAGAACAAAAAAAGCGTGTTGCAGTTCAGTTGCGAAGATTTCTGGAACTGAACATTATTCCTCAAGAGGTTCACAATTATTCATACAAGGACAAGGTTGGTTTTAGTTGTCTGAAATTTAAAGTAATACAGAAAGTGATAATTAGCAATGTCTTATCAACATTTTTTTTTCAGACTAAGTTTATGATGGCTATAAATGCAGCAACTTCATCATGGAACAAAAATTTGTCTGTCAAATTCGGATTGGGTGTTTCGTTGTTTACTAATGCCCTTTTAAGTCTTGGAACAGAGAGGCATTTGCCTTTTTATGATGCAGTGTGGGATAACAGGGTATGCTCTTAAATATACAATAGTGCGAGCACATTTTCTGTGTGATATTTTGTTTAAATATTTATTGTTTGTTTATTTCAGTTTTTATTTGCTTTGGGTATGACAGAGGTTGGTCATGGTAGTAACACTAAACAAGTGCGTACTACTGCAACATATGACCCTCCAACTCAAAGTTTTATAATTCATACACCTGATTTTGAAGCTGCTAAATGTTGGGCTGGGAACTTGGGTAAGATTTGAAAAAACACAACTATAAATTTACTTACTAATCTTTGGAATAAATGATGCAATTTTTCACTCTTGTGGAAAACTCTTTCGTTCATTAGGTAAGACATGCACCCATATAATGCTGTTTGCTCAGTTAATAACAGCAGATGACACATGCCATGGACTTCATGCATTTCTTGTACCTATACGAGACCCAGAAACACTCTCACCGTACCCGGGTATAAGAGTTGGTGACATTGGAGAAAAAATTGGGCTGAATGGAATTGATAATGGGTAAGCTGAGTTACTCTGCTAGTCTCTAAATGTTCAACAGTTTGCCACTTGTAAGTGGCGAACTTCTGTTATACACTTACAACTGTGGAGATAAAAATTTCGCCGCTTACAGCTGCAAGACTGAAACGTTCGTCACTTCCGACTGCAATACCTTGTTTTGCACCGATAATAGCTCTTCTACCTCATGAAAAGTAGTGCAGTTGAAAGTGAAAAACCCTTTAGATCTGTTGTTACACCTATAAGTGGCGAAAGTTAAAGTTATACAGTTATGAGTGTACAACAAAAGTTCGCCATTTACAAGTCACTCGTCTCTGACTCAAAGCACGCACGGCGCAGCGACTCTGATTGAAACCAAGTATCTTTGCGCGACTCTGGTGAAACCACGTAACGCATTTTTTGACGATTTTTTTGAAACCATATATTACAATGGAGTGAAACTTTCTCTTTCAAATGGCATAGGTTTCAAAAATCAGCAAAAGAGCACAACAATTTCTTCAGAGTCCCTGTGCTGTGCGTGCTTTGAGTTTGGGACGAGCAAAGTGGCAAACTTTTCTACATTTTGATTGGTAGGGCACTTATTCCGTCTTTGAAATATCGAAATATTTTTCTGCAAGTCTTTGCAAACTTGTGCAATGTATTGATTTTATCGACTTATCTAGGTTTGCTATGTTTGATAACTATCGCATCCCAAGAGAGAATCTACTGAATCGTACTGGTGATGTAACAGCTGAGGGAGAGTATGAATCATGCTTTCAAAACCCAGAGCAAATTCTTGGTAAGAAACAAAAAACTAACACAAGCGTAAGACGAGGGCTTTTAGAAATGACTGTCGCCACCAAATGATTGCTTTTAAGTTATTCAGGTATACTTCAGGAAGTGTATGTGTACCCCTCCCAACCCACCCTTCCTGCGTTCAAGTCCTGAGCAGATGACACGAGAGGTGTGATGCTTGAGTTTTGTAGGCATTTATACATCGCTCTCATAAGAGCAGCATACTTGCTCACACTGACAAACCAAGTTCTCAACTGCTGAATACTTCTAAGTGTACAAACTGCAAGTTAGATACTTACTTGCATGTATTCAACTCAGTAGTTGTGCCCTTCAAAAAGTGTATAACTCTTCTCTTGAGCACTTCATCATACACAGTAAGCGTCCAATGTAAGAAAGTGTTCAACAGGGGACTTGCACTCTTACAAGTGCATCGTCAAGTGCATACCGAGTTGAAGACTTGCAAGTGTACTACTACTGAGGTAAACACTTTCAAGTATTCAACTTGCAGTTGCACACTTACACGTGTTGAGCAATTGAACACCTATACGTGTTGAGCAGTTGCACACTTAGTTTCAGTGCAGTAGTTAAACAAGTTTGTTTAAACAAAGTAGACCTTAAATGAAATGGCTAAAATAAGCCTTGCTATGGAAAATGAAAAATTATCCATTATCATAGGATAGCTTCTAAAATTGCTTTTAACATTGAATTGACTTTATATTGAGGTATGATAAGTATGATAAATATGTGTTAAACATTTCTTCATCTTCAATGATCTTTAGGTGCTGCTTTGGAAAATTTGTTGGCTGGCAGAGTAGCAATATCTCAGGAGAGCACACATGATCTCTGCACGGCTGTAACAATTTCTGTCCGATACGCTGCAGTACGAAAACAAGGTGGTCCACGTAATGCCAAAGAAGAGCTATCAATCTTGGAGTATCCTCTTCATGTGAGCTTAATTATTCTTAACTATATGCCCGTCATCTGTTGTGTTCTTTTTCATGATTCTATCAATTTTTGTACAGCAATGGCGTCTGTTCCCATATGTGGCAGCAGCATGTGTATTCAAAGTATTTATTGGCGACTTTACCGATCAGTATTTAGATTTGGTGGAGCAATCTTACAAAGGTGCTGAAATGAAAGATTTGGTTAGTTTTGTGTTAAATATGAAAACATTTATCAGATTTATATTTACAAATTTTACTGAAATGGTAGCTATTTTCTTTCCCTGTTTGTAGACATCTGTTGCTGCAGAAGTTCATGCTATGGTCTCTGCTACGAAACCTTTGATAACCTGGACATGTGCTTCGGCTCTTCAAGAAAGCCGCGAGGCCTGTGGAGGACATGGTTATCTTAAAGGTATTTTAAGTTCTAGTGGACTGTGGAATACGTTTCAAAATACCAATCTTCTAAAAACGACGTTTTTGACATTGCAGCATCTCAGTTAGGTATAATGCGAGCTGACCATGATGCTACTGTAACATACGAAGGAGACAACAATGTTTTATTACAGCAAACAAGTAATTGGATTGTGAGAAATTGGCCTCATGCTATTCAAGGAAACACTTCAGCAATACTCGATGCATCTCCTTTCGGAACATTACATTGTCTCATTAATGCTGAAGAAAAACTCAAGGAAGAATTTACAGGAACAACCGTTGATGATGTGTTGAATCCACATTGTAAATATTGCTTTTAATTTCAATGACCTTACCATAAAGTTATTTTGGTATTAAAAATATTTTATGTCCTGTGCAGTTGTCAAATCATCATACGAATGGCTAGTGTGCTGGCTCACTCAGTCATTAGATAATCAACTGCAGAAGCTGAAAAGCTCTGGCCTAGATAGGTTTACTGCCCGTGCCCAAGTGCATGCCTTCTATGCAAAGCCTTTGGCTCTTGCCTATGGAGAGGTATGATCTTGTCAAACCTTGCAAAAGAAGTTTTGGTATACTCTTGGGCGAAGTTTAGTGTAAATGAGAGCAGCGTCGGCTCCAGGCTAGATTGTAAATGTGTCCGGCTCATGCCACGCGCCACAGCCGTCATTGGGCGGCGATTGGCAGCCCCGAGCGCGCTCATTGCCTCCACCACAGGCCTATTGTCCGCCCGGCTAACCCGCGCGTCTCCAAAATTTGCACGCGTTGAACGACAGCGTTCGAAGTAACGTCAATCTACTGGAAAACTCGTGACAGTAAACTAAAATGTGACTGTACGACGCTTCGTCCGAGATTAGTGACGACTATTCTAGAATGAACAACGCAGCCGTTATTTCGAACGCTTCAGTTCAGCCCTTCAAATTTTACAAATCGTTCACATTTTGGAAATGGGTGGGGTGACGGTTGGACTGTAGTGGGGACGTGTGGGGGCAATCAGCGCCGAGCGCGTTGCCAATCGCCGGCGTGGCATAAGATGGACACAGTTACAAACTAGCCTGGGCCCTACGCAGGCCCCTTCTCCACTATGCTTTGTCCAAGAGTATATGTCCGACTGGTATAAGTAATTATTTGCCTTTCTTTGGTTGACTGGATTTATTATGGTTTTGTTGTCTTAAAATATTATTCTGTTTACAGAACAGTGCTTTGAGTTACTTCTGGGAAAAACTAAAAACCCCAGAACTTCCTTGTGAAATCAGGAGTATTCTAGAACGTCTATATGTACTCTATGGTTTGTGGGGTATTCAAAGAAACTTAGCGTTGTTTTACAAAGGTTTGTTGTAAATTTCTGTTAAGGGAGACCGGGGCTACTTCTTGACCAATTGACCACTGGGGCTACCTCAACACTGGGGCTACCTCAACACTGGGGCTACTTGAATACCCCCCCCCCCTTTTTGAAAGAACGGCGTACTATACGGAAAATTCGGACTTGACCTCTTTTAGATATTCAACTCCTCATATGATTTTTATAAGAACGGTGGTTGTGTTGTCATTACTTTGTTGCACAGCAGAAGCTCGAATAAGTTATGCTTCAAAATTTACGTAAAATTTAATATTTGGTAGTTGGTTTTGTCCCGCTTTGGTTAAAAGAAATGATGCGGCTGACCATCTTCGCAGATTTTCTTATTTCTATGGACAATTATACTTGGATTCAACCCGAGTCCGCGTCAAGGGATCAAGTTTTGTGGCCGCTATGGCCCGGTACTTCTTAGTCCACCATTTGGGGCGACTTGAACACCCCCAAATTTTGACTGTTTTTTCACGACGCTTGGTCAATTAGCGCAATTATTCCTACCCTAAACTAAAACAATGTTTAAATGACATTTTTCAATAGTTTTAATGTAAAACTATTTGGAGATAGTTTTTAAGTTTTTTTATTCCAATAATAAATATTTATTATGGAATTACTCTCTCACATTTGAGTTGAGTTCATTATTGGGTACGGTTTTGGTTTAAAATTCGTCAACTGTTCTGAATGTTCAGGGGGTGTTCATGGAACCCCAGGGGGTATTCAAGTAGCCCCTATATGGGACACCTTGAACCTTTGTAGTGCTGAACTATTTCTCACAATATACGGAAAACGAGATGCGTGACGGCGGAATGGGACTGGAACTTAAGTAGAGAAAGGTTGGGGCTACAATAAGCGCGAACGTTGAATTCTCTACCTCATCGTGTCTGTTCTCCAGGGCCCAAATGCCAAATCCTGTTCAAGAAGCCTCGGTCTCCCTTACTCTTTTTTTTTTTCTAAAATACAGGTATCCTTTTCCTTGATTTATATTGTTTGTATCATATTTCAGGGGGTTTTGCTTCTGGTTCTAAAATGGCTGACCTCATTCAAGAAGCCTGTCAAGCTGTTTGTGGTACACTGAAACCAGAAATTGTTGCTGTAATTGATGCAATTGCACACCCAGATTCTGTTGTGAAATCAATTTTAGGTCGCTCTGATGGAAAGGTATGTTCTTAAATTTTATATTATTTTTTAATTTTGAAAGGCTCTTTCCTTGCATCCTTTTTTTTTCTAATCTAGATTTATGACCATCTTTATGATGCGTACATGTCTCAACAAGGAAACACAGGAAGGCCAACTTGGTGGCATGAGGTATCAGCTAAGACTCAGTCTAAACTATGAGCGCATCCAAATTAAACTTTAAGCAAAATCTTGGTTGTAAGTAGGCTAAGCTCAGGGTTCAATTGTTTTATATAATATTATACACGATTTCAACAGTATTTTTACTGTTTAAAGTCATGAGATTCGCCCCAACTGAAGAACCAGTATTTTTGTATTTTACATTTGTTAACCAAAGTGAACACGTCTTGTCAATATAATGTCAGACCTGACAGTCTCAGTATTTTTTATATTTCCCCCCCTGTATATTGGTATTAAGCTTTCTGTGTGAAGTGGTGGTAGTAGAGCTTTAATCTTTTCAACCTGTGCAAAGTGTATGACTACTACACATCCAAGATTACGTGCAGCGAGGGTTCTGGTAGCAAACATCCTCCTCATCTTGACTGTAAAGTCTAAATATGTAGTTAGACGTCAATGTTGAATTGTATCTTGTATTGTGTCAATGTATTTTCAGTCCTATTGTAAAACTCAAGCTTGTGGGATCTATTTGCATTTATGTATTTTGCGAGGAAGTGCTTCAATATAGTATTGCTTCTAGGTGTGGAATTTTCAAAACTAGGCGTGTGGTATCCACTTTGTTACCTTTAAAATGGAGATTAAAATCACGGAATCTCAATCAACAGCCCTTTAGTGTTTTGTTTCAAATTTCTTCTTTGAAATACGCTATTTAATTTCAGATCAGATCTATCCATTGCCATCATGCTATTTTTAATTTTCAATCTTCTCTGTTATGACAAATTTGTAGCTTTTAATCCAAATGGCAATGTTATGTGTAGTACTCCTATACAATGATAAATATAGGTGTTGATATCATTTTACTTTAAGTTTATGTTTGTGTAATAGTCTTCCTAAAATTTAATTTTTCTCTTCTTAGAAGGAAACAAAACAGATTTTACTACAGTTCTAATTTTGTTTTATCTATAAATTAAAATTTTATAAAGTCTTTGCAGTGATAAATGTAACATCAATTGAACTAGCATCTTCCCCCCCAGCATCTGGTTTCTACTTCCATTTTCTTATGTAATCTTGCCTGTAGGAAATTGTATCTTGCCATCTAGTAAAGTTACACTTGCAAAATCGGATTTGATAGATGTAGTATGTAGCCTGATGAAGTATTTACATACATTTTCACTTGCACCTAGAATCGCAAACAAAAGTGTAACTGTACTGCATTTATGAATGTTGAAATAAAATGTTTATTGTTACACTAACCAACCTGTAATGTGATGTCTCGTTTCCAACCCTTCACGCCATTTGAATCTCTTACACCACCTTAACTCGACCTGGAGCAGTCTATCTGCATATCTCGATCTCGGATTTGAACCAACAAGCCACGTTCGGTCCAAATTCAAGATCAGCGCGGGAGGTATCCGTCACGGACTTCATCTCCTACAGTAATTTTAAAATGCGATGTCGACGCAGGTAGCTGCGGACACCAACGGTCGCTATTGGACCTAGCTCAACCGTTGAAATCTGTCCCTTTAATCCCTTTTCGATAAAGTATCGAAATAGTCGATGTCGAAAAAACGTCGATTTGTGGGACAAAATCCCATCGATTCGACTTTTGGAATCGACAATTTTCGACCGGCCTAATCGACGTCGATTCGAGGTCGATTCGACCACTGATTTCTCACGTGGACACTTCTTAGGTGTATGCGCCACATAGCGTAGCACTATGGCAAGTACACACTTCAAAGTGTGTGCCATGCCAGACACACAGTCCTTTGTGTGCTTTCAAGTGCACACAAGGAAGAGTGTACTTACTATGTACACTAGGGTGTTAAAAAATTGACATGCTTGAGTGGACTTTATTGGAAAGCTCATGACTCGATCTGAATCTGTGCTAAATTTTAAAAGCTGTCCGATGAGGGGAACCATCCTCTCCCAACCAACCTCTCCTACAAAGTTTGATTCACATTTGACAACATGTCTAAAATGTCGCACACAGTCGCTGTCTGTGTGACTTTATGTCCGTAGCTTATAAAGGTTTTTGCAGCAGGAATACTGACAAAGGGTGCAAAAATCAGTAACAGGATGAGAGTGCACACCAACTGCCGTTTCCGGACGCATGCAAGCGCCGATTACCGATTCGCACTCCGCTGGCCGGCCCTGTGGTTGTGGATCGTTATAGCTACGCTGGCTGCCTGTACGAAAAACTAACGGGGAGCGTGAGCCTTGTGGACTGGTCGATGGGACTGTCTGTCGAACGGCTCTGTGGCCGTCGGTTTTTCGGTTGCTGATAAGCCAGCTCTCCTAGCACTGGTAAAACAAGTGTGCATAATTTAAACACCACCGTACCGTGTGTAAGTTGTGATTTTAAACATTACATGGTGTTCAACACAATTTGCACACTCGCGTGGTGTGCACATTTGAAACGTTTTGTAAACGTTTAAATTCTGCACACTTGGACACTCATAGTTGAATGCTATGAATAGGAACCATATAGTGCGTAGCTTCTATACTTTTCGTAAGTGTCGAAAGTTTAAACACCAATTGACGTATAACCTAGTTAGACATCAGAATGTGTTGAGAAAATGCACACTTGAACTTAAACATCAATTTACGTGTGAAATTAAACACTTGTTTTACCAGGGTAGCGCCTGCTGGGTAGGCAATACTTTGACTGCATCGCACGCGTGTACTGCGGGTTGGTCTACGCTGAGTCTCGCAGGCGCCGAGCGCGCGTCATTTAGCAAATGAATCAGAACGTACGTATTTCCTGGATTTTTCTCGGGAGGAGCCGCTAGCATGTCCTCCCTTAAGGCCCCCCAACACCGTTGAAGGCACTGCATCGCGCAAAACTTTTGACCCTGACATATACGTGTTCGTAGTCTAAGCTTGTTTTGTAAGTTAAACCAATACTTGAACACAAACTATAGTCATGGGGTTAACACCATATTATAGGTTTTCGAATATGATGATGTGTCCTTATTTCGAGGATCAGGGAGTTTACTTGCTTTGATAGCAGCAATTCTCCTCTCTGAGGGTATGCTCCGGGTCTTATTAAGGGTTGTTAGTGCTACAAAAATAAATTCACAAAACATACATCTTTAAAAAAAGTGCACGCACCCTCTTTATTGAACTCATAAACAAATGCATAATAGTATGCCTTATTTGAAAAAAGCTTTATTTTTCTCAGTCAGTGCAGCTAGCAATCAGCTCGTAGTTGTACAAGGAAGTAGCCGCCAACAGGCAGAAATTGTGATGTGGAGTACTTTTTGGAAACCTCCAAGTTTATCCCTTAATGAGATGAATGAACTCATTAAAAAAAAGATGAATTCAACAATAACTGGGGATGTTAAGTATACTCTTTCAAGATTTATCATAGAAATGTTTCAGTTTAACACTAAGTGGTTGTTTAACATGGGCTGCACATTGCCTTCTGTACTGTTTGCAAGAGTAATGCATTCAATGCTCTACAGTTTTTCAATTCTTTGCATAATATTCTCTTATTTAAATTTTGAATAACAGATCTCTGACTTCGTAAATGTTTTGAAAAGGTTCTTCATATAAATGTTGTTTGTGATGTACATTACAAGTGGTCTATAGGAAACATCCACTGCACCCCTATTGCTCTTATACAGAAAACATATAAAATCTGAGCGACTTGAGAATATCATGAGCTTTTCCTCTGTTTTTAAAGTGTTCCTGATTATTAAAACAAACAAAATACAGTGCACTTAATTCTGTTATCACATAATAGTTAAAAATAACAAGGAGAAGCAATTTTTTCTTCAGGGGAATCAATAACAGCCAGACATTAATTTGAGGTCAAAGTTGCTCCCAATAAAAGCTTAACCGTATCACTAGTAATATCAGAGCACATGTGCCAATTTTGATACAACCAACATCACATAACAAAACTGTACAAGGTCATTATGATTTGCTTAATTTTTTTTATCTCCAAGACATTCATGGTATAAAAACGTTTAAAAACTGCCCCTTTCTCACGTCAATGTAATCTTTACAATATTTTAAGATTGATTTTATACTTTCGTACAGGATGTCCACAAACAAACAACCTGTAAAGAACTCAATACTGTATGACTTATTGATGAACTTGTGATTGTTATTAATTGTTCACTTATATCGGTATTGTTGACTGGTATGTCACAAAACAAATTTTTAGATGCATGGTAATTAGTTATCTAATCACTTGTAGGAAAATCTGTCAGCAGACCACACAAAAAAGAGGCAATGTTAACTTGAGAACAGATAAAAAAACAAGTATTCATAGTCAAGTTTTTAAGTGACATGCCAAAAGGCGTTCTTAATCTTCCCAATTTGAAGTTTTACTGTTGACACATAGTGCTTGCTAGGCAAAGAAATAAAATTATTAGAGAAAAGCCATATTTTTAAAATCCTCACAATTTGTTTGCAATATAAAACATGGATGATGAAAGAACATATCAATTATGATCACTAGGTTAAGTTTAGTTGAAATGAGTTGAAGACAGCTGTACGCCTTTTTCGCTGACTTCAGCTACTTCAATGCCATGTTTTAAAGTAAAGCCAACAGTGTCACCACCAAGCTCAACCAAGTAACAACAAAAATGCAAACAAGCATCAGTAATAGTTTTGCAGAAATTAAGGTGGGGTGATAGAGGAAGACAAACCAACTGAAAGGATCAAAATGCCATGCCTGATATATTGCTAGCTCAGAATACTTCAAACTGTGGGTCAAAAAATATAGGAACTGTAATTGATAGAATTCTAGATGCACAGTAGAAAAATTGTACAAGGTATTACCTAATAACAGGAACGTTATAAGATTTCTGATTTTAAAAGTATCTAGTAAAAAACTTTTACATCTCAAAGTACCGTTTCAGAGTGGCTCATCTTAGGGCTTCCACCAACAATGAATCTTTTCACCTCCCTAATCTGTAATCATGCTAATTGACCCACACGGAAAGCACATGTCTGTGGATATCGAGTAGATTCCAAAATGATTTCTAACAGACACCGACAGACATGCCATTCTTCCGTGGGAGGATGCGTGGCTTTGGGGTAGGCGTGAAAATGCAAACAGTCTTGAGCAACCTAACAGTCAATATTGAAATATTGACTTCACCCTCAAAGCAGACATGGTCTGCAGTTATTTCAGAAACACGTCTCTAAAACTATTGACACCTCACACGTCTTTACATCAGTTACAGATCCAAAACATTCTAGCTACTTTAAAAGAAATGGCCATACTTAAGAACCAAAGCCATACATCTTTCTCATAAGTACATCAGGAGAGAAAATGTGGACGGTCAAAACGGAATTAGTAGGGCTCATAAGCCACTTCCATTAACCTCCAGTGAGCCCCCAGTCATCAGTGAGGCCCAACATGGTCATCAATGAATCATCAATGCAAACGTGCTGTTAAAATTCAGTTGAAAAATAAATGACAAATAAGCAAACTAGGTCATACATTGCTTACAAAACATAAGAAATACTTTTTCTTTAGAAAAATTGTGCCTTAATGGAACTGTGCGTGCCAACTTCCCAAGTATTGAGACTTTCTGTTAAATTTAAATTAATCATGTCAAAAGTGCAAACTTGAGGATTTGAAACCGGTTGGTTCACATAGGATTTAAATTTGAAATAGTAAGGTCAAGTATTTTTACACCACGAAGTGCATTGACAGCAGCACACAGAAATTGCGATTAGCAAACAGTACACTGACATAGTACAACCCTTTATAATTTCCTTGACTCCAAATCTGGATGATATTCTATTTCGTTCTGTTAATTATTTCTTTGATCATATGAGGTATGAATAATGAAAACAGTGATATCATCAATAAACAACAATACCTTAGTTAATATATATTCTGGATAAACTTTGAGCAACAATCCTCAATTCAAAGCCATTTTTAAAATTGCATATTATGGTGGTTGATTCCACTACATCCCTCCCATTTCTACCTCAATCTCACCTCTGACAGCGGCTCTTAATGAAAGCCCCTTGTACCTGAACTATATAAAAAAAGACATGGTAGAAAAAGAAGGACGTGTTGACCAGCGTGTACAGAAACACTCAAGGTCCATCTGCACCTTAAGCTTGGGCAGCAAAGGCTCCCTAAACAATTTTATTTACATAACAATTCCATAATATTTTGTGCCTTGGAAATATTTTTTAAAAATTCATTTTAAACAAAATAACAAGTCAAGTTTGTTTCAAGAGCCCTGTCAGGTCTCCTTACTGGCAGCACACAGGTTGCAAACACCAAACACATGAAGTTTCACCTACCTCCTAAAACCTGTCAAATTTGATTTCTGCCACATTTTGATTTTAGGAGCTAACATGTACACTTTCATCTCTCCTTTTCTGCCTTGGCTGTATGGTGGGGCCACCACTTGCTTCCCATCCAACAGGATAACTCAGAGAAAATATAGAGAAAAAGTACAAAAAGTAAAGAAATAGGTAGATTTAATTTTTGTGTCAGAATTAGAAGCAGGGTTGTGCGCACACAATAGTGGAGCTGCAATCCATGTGCTTCACACAACACTTCGATGACAGGTGCATGGTGGTTGCACTGTACTTAATACAATACAATACCAAAGGCAGTGACATTCATTTATCATGGTGTCGTGACAAACACAATCATTTCGTATAACAATCTTAATCTCATTCATATATGGTAGAAAAAAAGCTACCACATACAAAAACAATATTTACAGCACGCTTTAAAAGTGGTATATTTAAAACTGACACAAAAATGATGTGCAGGAAATCAACAAGTGGGTTGCCCCAGCAGACTAAATGCCAGAGAACTGACCGGCAGCGCGCTGGACGCGTCCAAACAGCTGGCTGGCACACACACAAACACTTCCATAAAAAAAAAAAGATTCAGTAAACTTGCCTTGTGATTCAATAATAAAATTGTCTAGAAATTATTTTGAAGCAAAAGCACTTTTGCCCAGTACTTTACCAATGAAATAGATATCTTTTAAAAAATGGACAAGCACTTATTGTTTGCAAGCATCAGGTGGGTCAACCTCAGGAGCAGGTGGTCGATGTGGCGCTAGGCTTCAATCCAACTTCACAGTATCTTCTTTTTCTTGTCTTGATGAACCCACACCAAACAAGTAGAAGTCTTAAGGGCGCCCAGTTAAATAAAGACTGTACGGAGACCGTACACAATTCTAGTAAAAACAAGTCGTTGTGAGCGCTCCAGAAATAGCTTTCCTAAAACCAACACCACCTTGCCTCGTAATACAAGCCGGTATGGCGTCTCCCTTTCTCCATTCCATTTTTGGGCCCAATTAATTAATTTACATTGGCAGTTGCAAAGTCCACTACAAAAAAAAATCGTGTTTTCAGGCCGTTAGGTCCAATGGAGATCATTAGGGGAGTCCTCTCGCACGTACCATGCAACTTCACTCGAGAAAAAAAATACACGTACGCAAAAAGTTCAATTCATTAAAAAATATTGCTAAAAAATCTACCGAAGCAGATAGTAGTTTAACGTCGCGCCCTCCCCCTGTTGTTCACGCGTCGTCCCCCCAGGGGGTGAGAGGAGCGGGGCGCGCAGGCGGGCCCCAACGGGGAAGGCGGGGGCCGGGCCCGCGCGCTGGCACCAGCCACCCCCGCGAGTCCGTGGGGACGAGAACTGCCGCCGCCCAACCTCCGCGGCCGATGAGCCTCACGCCCGGCCGAAAGCAACCCCAGCCCGCCTGCCACCCGCCGACCCGGGGAAGAGGGTCAGATGGGCGGGGGCGGAGGGGGAGCTGAGCGGCGGGCGCGGGGGCCGCGGGGGCCGCGCGTGGCTGTCCGCTCATTTGCCTACTCGGTGTCGCTGAGGACAGCGGGGCTCATGTGCGTGAACGGGAGAGGGGGACGCGACCTTCCTCAGACATCCGCAAGGCGCGAAGACACACTGGGCGACCGCGAGTGGATCACCACGCGGTGACCGTTCTTCGTCACGAAGCCGTCCGACTCGACGAGAACGGCCGTCTGCCGACCGCCGCCTGCTGACTCGTCGTCGCCGTCCTCGCCGGCGCTGCCAGCGCTGCCGCCGCCACCGCCGCTGCCAGCGTCGTCGCCGGCGTTGGGGCCGCCCTCGTCAGAGGACACGCCTCCGCCGCGGTGCAGCTTGTGCTTGCGCCAGGCGTGCTGGATGAGGCGCGCGCAGTACTCCTCGCGCTGACGCCACAGCGTGGAGGACACGGGCTCGTAGCCCGCCTCGTCCGGCCGGCCCGGCTGTACCTGCAACGTCAGGGGGCAACAGCCTTTTTTTCAACCTTGGGTTCTACGATGCGATTGTGATGACATGCTCTGCTTGCATTTTATTGCTGTGCTGTGCGACCATCACTGCCCCTATCTATCTATCTATATATCTATCTATCCATCCATCCATCCATCCTAGACACTAATAGTTAGATTAAAGTAATCGAAAAATTAAAAAAGACCTACGCGAGGACCAGTACGTACACTATAAAATTAGATTATACATAAAAATGAACAGGAATCTACTAACGAAGGCCAGAAGGTCTCACTGGTGAAATTTAGTTACAGTGCCCAAAAACATCTATCACAAATCAGCCAAGTCACCTTCCCTTATGCCAAAATGCAAAGTGTGAGTCCATCTGGCCACTTACTTGTTCTCTAAGTCTACTACCCTAAACTATTATAAAAGTCAACCCTACTCCTTGAGAAAACCTTGCACTTATCACAGCACTCATTACTATCCACAATAAATCAAGAATAGATTAGTATACTTTATAAATTGTTACTTGACAGCCCAGGTAGCAGGGCTGCATAAAATGTGCATTCTGTGTCCAATCGAAAAAGCGCCGAAACGCGTGTAGGCGCCTAATATGCGCGAACATGCGCCTAAAATGCGCGCTTCAGATGGGACATATAATGCGGTTTTCGGTTTGAATGCAATTTGCTCCATTTTGCTACCTGGGAGAGCATTTTGGGGGTTGGATGTCTCACTTTGTCAAAGCTTAGGGACAGTGTGTCTAGAAGTGACCAAATGACCACATAGCGAGGTAATGCTGTGGTCACATGCACTGGCATTCAGATTTGTGTGATAACATACTCTGTCAACTCAAATGTATTTAATTGTATACATACATTAAATGAAGTAAAAATGGCCATGCCATATGTCTTATTTCTTTTCATTGGGTTAGCGATAGTAAATTAGACCGTTGTTGATCGGAAAACACTTTTTCTGTCTGTCTGGGGGACTATCCCACGATATTTTAAGAGCGGGTGTCGAAAACTGCGAGAGATCTGACCCGAAAAGGGCAGCAATCGTCAAAAACACTCTTTGTTGTGCTATACTGAATCTCCCTCTATTAGGGTGCTGTAAAGGTCGCCTTTAACGAAAATAACCAAAAAATTACATCTAAATATGGAAGGGGAACGCCCCCCCCCGCAATAAAAAAAAGCACACTGGAAACGCAAGTGTGTGACTGTCACACACTTGCAGGATGTGTGAACATCCATTCGTACACTTATGGGGGTAAACGTGTGAATTTTTCATGGAAAATTCAAACGTTTACGCCCCTAAGTGTACGAATAAATATTCACACACCTGCAAGTGTGCGACATTCACACACTTGCGTGTTCAATGCACACAAAACAACAACACTCAGTCTGAGATAGGAATCATCCCTCTCCGACTCAGCTGTCAGCGTAGGTCAAGATAGTCGTGTAAGAGGCGCATCGCAGCGTAACAGTGTTTCGTGAGATATCGTGAAACCTGGTCTAGTGCACGATGTAAAACGACGTCGTCTTTCTACATCGTGGTCTGGTGTACTTTTACCTTCTATATAGACAAGACGGACACACGATGTCTACTACCTTGCACGTATGTATGTATATGCATGCGTTTGAGTTGACAGAGTAGAGTATGGTCATTCGCCATTCAAATTCCACCAGCCCACAATAATTAAGGTGTACCCACAACGCACACGAGCGACGTGACACCGTAAGTCTGAGACGGGCTGGGTATAGGCCGACCCAGCGGGGGCCCACAACCAGAATCAAGGTACCGAAGTGGGGATGACGGTCAAGAAACATTTGACTCCCAACGTTCTAATTTGGTGCGTTCATCGTGGGGGCATCGTTAATAAGCGACATCAACTCATGTCAATCAAACTCTGATTCACTTATGATTGTTATTATAAAAGTATAACATGACAAGCTTTGGTTCCTGAGTGGGCCGTGGAACAGTCATGCCTGAGTCTTAGAGAAATATAATTAGCAAAAGTTTGCAATTCTCAATATATAAAGCTGTGTTGTAAAGTGTTGTTCAGAAATGGGTGTTTTATGACCAAAACTGCATCTAAATTGAATGTGCTACAGTAGTAAAATATGGAAAAAGGGTGCTAAATGGGAAATGCATTTTGCAAATGAGCTGATCTAAGGAGAGCGTAATACATGAAATTGTAATTATTTGATGACATGATCAAAATATGAGCATTTTTTGTATTGTTTATTTTGCTAATATTAAACTGCCAAAACGACAGAATCAGCTCATTTGCATAAACATTTCTAGATGTTTTGAGTATACTCTATGTAACTGAATTAAGTAAATACAGTAAACTAGAAATTAGGTGCCTAAATTGAAATTTGGTGTCTCAACATATTAACCGACCACTGGGCCACAACGCGCTAACTGCTAGACTATATATATTTGTAAGAATTTAGATAATGGAATGGTAACCTACAATGGGAACAAATTACGGAAAGAAATGAACATTCTCTATGTACGACCAGGACACCAAACCTTCTGAGGGATAATAGGGTCCCAAAAATGGTCCTGCAGGAAATACGTATAATGCCGGAGAAACATAGTTACGTACCTCGGCTAATTCACCCGTCTCTTCAATGGGATTGCCCTTGCGGGCGAAGAAGTCTTTAGTGAGGGCGTCGAGGATATCGACGCAGAACATGAGGTCGCCCTTGCAGATGGGAATGTCCATAGACACGATCTTGTACTTGTTGGGCTTGTGTATCTGTAAGGGCGGCTCTAACACGTCCAGAAAGTCTGACAGCTGATCGTAGCGGATGTACTGCGTGCCGTCGGGGTCGAAGTTCTGCCATATCTCGTAGTACATGTCATAGTCATCGTCAGTCAGGCCCTCTTGCACGTCCTCTGTCGCCTGAAGAAAGAAATGCGGCAGCCATTAGAGTAATCAGTCACTAATAAAATGTTTCCCCACTCGACGCGGAGTCTTCAACGCACCTGAGAATAATTCTCGAGGATGACAGCGATGTACATGTTGATAACGATAAGGAACGAAATGACGAGGTACGACAGCAGGAACGTGATGCCGATAGTGGAGGAGCCGCAGTTACCCGGAATGCCCATCTCGTTGTTAGGCTTCACGCACTCCTCCTCGTTGATGATGCCATCCAGCACACCGTCCCAACCCGCTGATGTCGACATCTGCGAACGAACATGTGACACTCAAAACTGGTCGCTCAGGCCACTTTGCAGGCGCGTCTAGTGCGCCTGGCGAGCGGGTCGGTCTACCCCCCGCCCTCCAGGCGTTAGTGCTGTGCCCTCGCGCGTAACTCGGCACCAGGACCTACCTGGAAGAGCAGGATCATAGACTGGCCGAAGGTCTTGAAGTTATACACGTCATCGAGCCCGCTCTTGTCTTTCACGTTCATGAAGAACGACATGCCGAAGATGGCAAAGATGAACATGACGAGGAAGAGGAGCAAGCAGATGTTGAAGAGCGCTGGCAGAGACATGGCCAGCGCGAAGAGCAGCGTTCGGATGCCCTTGGCTCCCTTAACCAACCTCAAAACTCGACCTACTTTCGCTACTCGCACCACTCGAAGTAACGTGGGCGAGACAAAATATTTCTCAATAATATCGGACAGTACAAGACCTGTCGGAAGGCACATGATTGTCAACACACAACGTAAACATAATTTTCGACAGTCGAAGGTTCGGTATACTGACCTAATATTGATAGAATTACTACTACAAAATCGAAAAGGTTCCATGGCTCTACGAAGTAGTGATACCGTAGAGCAAATATTTTCATAAGACATTCAGAACTGAAGATTACAATGAATATCATGTTAAGGTGGTCCAGCACCGTACTAAATGTTTCAGCCTGCTGATAATGGTCAAGTGTCATGGTCAACATGTTGAGACCAATGAACAACATAATAAACATGTCGAATTTTTTATCCGTACAAATCTCGAACACTATGGCTTGAGGTCTCCACTGGAAAGATATGGAAGAAAGTTCATGGTAGTCAATATCAAATTTTGAAAGAACATTATGTTGTAGTTCAATGGGGTTTGATCCACAAAGCTCCAAGGCGATTCTGCCGTTATGGGCGCTAGCGCGTTCACTCGCTAGGAGAACAAAAGAGAAACGTTATAGGGGCGGGTGTAATTTAAAGGTTTACGAAACTTAGAACGTTAATTTAAAATTTTTGGACACCATTGTGGGGAAAAGAACGTAATTTAGTGGTTTGAAAGCTACAAACTATACTGGTAATATTTATCTGCTAATTTCGAAATCTTAAAAGCTCCACTTTATTTCTCATAGCGGCCCGAGCGAGGTAGCGCACCAGTGAACCTAGCAGTCGAGTTTGGCGTAGGATCAAATCCCAGTAACATTTTTTTTATTACACACCCTTGGTCTTGGAATGGCCTTCATAGGCTTCTTTGAGCCCATCTTTTTCATTGCATTGTAATATTTCTTCTGATCTTCAGTCATGAACATCTCTAAGGATCCTCCAGCCTTTTTCTTTTGCTCGTTGAAGTTGTCGATGATAACTCCGATAAACAGGTTTAAAGTGAAAAATGAGCCGAAAATAATGAAAAAGACAAAGTACAGGTACATGTAGATATTTGTCTCCCTAATTGGTTGCTTGTTGATCTGAAACAAAAGCCGATAGTGACGCACTGATCGTTAGAAAAACAACTCTAAAAATAATTAATGACGCACCTCTCTGGAGTCAATGGCATCATTCATAATTTGAATCCATCCTTTGAATGTTGCTACTTGGAAGAGACATAAATAGGCCTTGCCGACATGGTCAAAATTCATCGGTGAATTTTCCCATGTGTAATTTTCTGCTATGCAGGCATTCTTGTCTGGTATAATTTCATGGCTCAGAGTCGTCTTGTTTGCATCCACACACTGCGAGTAAAATAAAATAAACTCAGTCACAAAAGCATAAACCAAGAATTAAAAAAAAGAAAAGGCATTTACTTACCTTAAAATATTTTCCGGCGAACAGTTGGACTCCCATAATGGCAAAAATAAGCCAAAATATGAGGCACACCAACAGCACGTTGAAGATACTAGGAATAGCCTGGACCAAGGCATTTACTACCACCTGCATAGCCAAATATATATTAGAAATGAGATCTATAAAATCATGTATGTTGAAACTCATTTTTAAACTGAGAAAAGCACACACACAACCTATACTACACATTTCTTTATATGCTAGTAACTTTTCCCAGCAGAGGTCAAAGTTCTAATTTTGTCTGAAAAATTGGATTTAAATATATACATAAATGCCACTAAAAATCTACCATGTTCAAACCAAAATACAAGCTAAACCATTTCGTGCATTTGAAGATCTTTTAGAGTGCGATTTTAAACAGTACACAATATGTTTTCAGACAAGGTAGCGTTCATAGCACTTTTGTTTCCGCTAGCACAAGTAAAAACAGCTACAAGCTAAGCAATAAATAGTCACAGAAGAAGATGTGTGATTTAAAAAGAAAGGACTGGAAAGATGGGTCTTTCAGGTAATGGGCCATCGGCTTGCTCTCATGCTAAATATAGTGATAGGGAGAAAGAGGAAAGGAAAACTAGTCTAATTTTATCATTTGGACAGTCCACTAAATGTTTCAATTCAAGCAATTAAAAGGCATATTTTTTTAAAACCTAAGGTCTAAAAATCGTTGGTCTTTTTTTTTTATCTAAGGCATGAGTGAGGTAGTTCATGTGGCTGCATTGATGCACATAAACTAGAAAAATATAATAGTGTGCAGTAAAAAGAAAATTTTGCTAAGGCCAACATTTGTCAAGTACTGGTTTCCATTTAGCTTTCTAAAATTTCTAAGGTTTTGCTTTTTTACATACCCTCATTCCCTGCATTCTAGACATAGCCCTAAGAGGCCTAAGAGCCCTGAGTGTCCTCATTGTTTTGAAGGCTTGAATGCCACCAGCCCCAACCAGGGAGGCAACGAAGTTTATCAGAGAGACCTGAAGTTTTCACAAAGGCAACATGAAGGTCTTAGTAACTTTACCAACACGACTTGTGCTTGGCCGACAAGCCAGGACGGGAACAGCATCGGTAAAATTGTTTTGCCTTTCATAAAATAGGTGGAATCACAATTTAGGTTAATGACAGCTAATGCGAGTAAAGATGATGGAGTGACCTGCCCTGGAATGTACCTAAGAACGAGAATGAGGAGGGGTGGAAACGAAGAGACAGAAAGGTGTGGAAGAGAGGGAAAATTGGATGACGCCTGGATCAGAGTGAGACTGAGGTGCTCTGAGAATGGGGGCAGAGCCCCAACCTCGCCGCGCGCACGGTGTGGCACGGAGTGCTTAGCACAGGCGTTGGCGAGGGGTCCTCCACTCCCAAAATAGGCGTGTACAACGAGTTAAAGCGAGTTGGGCACGAGTTGACAAGTGGAAGATTTGAAAGCGCGTTTAGCGCGAGTTTTCCAAGAGATGGATGCTAGTTTTCTTGCGTTTTTGCGAGTCGGACGCCTGCAAGTACAACGAGTTGGCGAGTGGGTGACCCCTCGGGCGTTGGCACGGCACAGACACAACACACACGTAGTAATGACAATAATATCAAACATTGAAAGCTCTTGCTCACTGAAACATTACAGGGTACAAGTATTCATGTGCAAAATAATACACAAAAAGGGGCGACCTTCCAAAGTAGACAGTTGGCGGTTTTGTAAAGGATTATTATTTTAAAAAGCAGCAAAAAAACATAAAAAAAATCACGCACAACGGATAATGCACAGTTATTGTAACGACTGGCTAATCGGGTAACCCATGACTTCTTCTTTGGAAGGAAGCCTCTCACAGCCGATAAACTCTCGAAAGAAACGAAGAGGCGCGGGTAGCGTCAAACACTGCTGTACAGCTGTACAACCACTGTGTGAGAGACAGAGACAGACAGAGAAGACGTTGTCGGCACCGGCAGCACGTTCAGGCACATGCAGCGCACACAGCACGCAGACGCCACAGCAGTTCCTCTCTCTCTCGGCAATAATTTCCCCCCCTTTGCTGAAGGTACAGGGTGTCCCATAGGGATCCCGCACTATATTTTGTTCATACTGTACCGCATGCAGGCTTGCCTACTGCGGCCTACTGTTGCTCATGGTGCTTTGAGCCACCGAGAGAGTTGTCAACTCGCCTATTGGCTTTAATGCGATACAGTAACAAAAAAGGGGAAAAATGAAAAAGAAGAGCGGAGCCTATAGCACATTCTGTATAATCCATTTGTAACACTTTGGAAAACGAAGCAGACAGAAGTCGGACAGAAATTGAAATTAGAGAGAGAGGGAGCAAGAGGGAGAGAGTGTTAGTGTGTGTACATGTGTGTGACAGACATACAGGCCACACAGTACTTACGCGCATGCCCTCCCAACGCGACACGGCTCGCAGGGGGCGGAGGGCGCGCAGCGTTCGCATGGACCGAAATGCGGGTATGTCCGCCGCGCCGGCCATAATGGCAGCTAGGTTTATCAGAGACAGCTACACACAGAGAGGCAATGTAGCACCAGGGACAGGCAAGGGACAGGCGGGGGCAGGTGAGAAGGGGTGGACCCTGACACTGGAGAAAATGTCTTCACATATTTTTTAAAAGTAAAACAACACATGAAACCAAAAAAATCGGATGAATCTGGATCTCATTTTTCTACAGGAGCTGAAAGAGATAAAAGATTAGCGACAAAATAGGCTTTGTAAGTGAAATCACGAGTACTCACCATAACAATGACGAAATCGAGCCAACACCAGGCATTAGTGAAGTACTTTCGAAACCCTAACGCCAACCACTTTATCAACATTTCGATAAAGAAGATGACGGTAAATATTCTGTCCATGTAATAAAGTATGTCTTGTAAAATAGGTCTACTCTGTAAATGGACGTCTTCCAATGCCTGCAGAAACAGATACAAAACGTGGATGAGCACTCGTCGTCTTCTTGCGCGCCGCGGGGAAGACAAATTACAAATACACTTACCAGGGCCATACTGCTAAGTAAAATCATAGTGATGACAGCCGTCTCGAAGTATTTATTTTCGATCAGCTGGTAAGTCTTGAGTCGCAGGTTGGCCCAGCCCTGCCAGAAGGGCGCGTCGTCATCGCCGGCCAGGAAGGGGAACCGCTTGTAGCAGTTGTCCGGGCAGCAGTCGGCGGGGTACTCGCCCACCAACACATCCTCGGTGTTATCGGCGATGATGATCTCGTCCATGTCCCCCTCACCCTCGCCCTCCACATCACCTTCTAAGTCTGTGACCAGAGAGAAAGAGAGAAAGTTGTCATCTTGGGGTCACGCCTTTCTCAGTCAGAAGGTGGGTTGGTTACGTCTAGTTAGAGGGGGTGCCAATCCACCCTGACCGTCTCTAGTTTGCCCTTAGAGTACGCACTGCTTTTGAAAGTGCTGATATAAAGTGCCTGATCGCCGACGAACTCTTATTAGCAAACTGGGAAAGATCCATATAGGTTTTCGACGGTCAGGGACTCAATCTGAGCACTTTCACTTTCAGTGCCTCTATGGGCTGGCTAGGGCCCGTGAGGGCCAGGACCGGTCAGTACCCCTCTTAATATACGCAACCGTAGACGAGTCTCATATATTTCCATCTGTGTCTCAAATCATGCTTGCTGTCTCCCTCAAACACACCACGCCACTTACCTGTCTCTACCCTCTCGCCCTCCAAGTCCTCTTTGCTGGCGTCCTTCTTTTCCTCGCCATCTAGAGTCTCGAGGCTACCTTTATGGCTCTCATCTTTGAAAGGCCTATTTTTGTGGCTCCCATAAGAGTGATTGCTGAGACGGGGAACAAGAGTGGTCAGTGAAAAGCTACAAGAAAAAGTCGGTATCTGAGGTAATAATAACAAGACTGCATTACCTAATATTGTCATCGTCGTATCTGTGCTTTATAAAATCGCTTTCAAAACGATTGTCTTGGTGGTTTCCAGTGATTGAATTTCCTATTGATTTGGCATTGTTTAGGAATTTTCCCTTCCTGAGCTTGTTTTTCAGGTCTCCTTTGGAATAAGCGGCATGGAAAAAGAAACAAAAACCGGACATTCCCATAAAAGCACTTTGTAAAACAACACCGACACAACATTAAGTCTAACTACTACACGAAAGACGCGTGCATGAAATAGTAGACCTTAAACCTATAGTTAATTTTTTTTTACCTAGAGATGTTTCAATTACAATGAGTTTAATTTCAAACTGATGTAGCAGCATAAGAGAAGGGTGCCAAAGTGTGATCTGGAGTAAAAGCTGACCCCGACTGGATCGTGTGCCTCGGGACGGGGCCCAGCCAATGAGCGCAATTGAAGAGCTACGGCGATATGTAAAGGTGCGTCAGAATAGTGAAAGACCGCCGAACCGAGTAATGTTACTACCTCCTATGTAAGTTGAAATGCAAAGAGACAGCATCCACATCCAGCTCTCCGCAGGTCGCCGGGCCATAGACACCATGGGAATCTTAGCCTGGGTCTTTATTGCACCTTCTCTACAGACAGAAGTGTCTGACCATGAAACAGTTAACACGGTGAGTCCCACGTGACCACACGTATGGACACAATAGCATGTAAAAACCCCCCCCCCCCCCCCCTTGGACTCAACGTGTTAAGATTGCGTGCCAAAATGTCACACACAGAGAAGTGTTTGTGTGTGTGAGAGAGTGAGTGTGTTACAACCATGTCACACACTTTTGCTTCGGGTAAGTAGTAAGTAAATACACTTTTTAACGTAAGTCACACACTTTTCTTTGGCCGGCATATTGGCCGGACACTTTCCAGTGCAGAGGCGGCAGTTTAATGTCTCGATTTGGCTGCCCGTCGCCAATCTGACGCACGTTTACAAACGGCCATGGCCTTTTAGTTGCGCTCACTGGCTGTGCCCTCATCTCGCGGTACATTCATGAGGTCCGTGCGCGTCTGTTTACGTGGCCCAGGGATCCTGAGATATAAGACATATCTACAAATACATGTGTATTTCTTCTTTTGGGAGCTTTACCAGAATAATATATTCTCCTCCAGTCCTGCCTAATCTGACGAACCAAACCAATACAGTCGAACTCAAGCTCTCAGACCAATCATTTTTCTGTGCGCGCTGATCCACATGAAACGTCTAGGAATGAAGCAATTGCCGTTTCGAAAACTTTACATTTAAAGCTTTGTGGGCGTTACGGGGACAAGGGCACCGATACCAACGGGATGTATACTTGTCAAGTAGACTCTTCCTGTTCCAATGACACAAACTGACTGAGATAGGCTAATTTAAATGTTTTTACGCATTTTGTCCAAAATAAGGGCCTTGGTCCGAAATTCGGGCTCATGACTGTACGCGCTCCGGCCGGGGGTAGCTTCTTTTCCGTGATGCCGTTCTCTCGTGGTGCAGCACAGCGCTCTGGTAAGGTCTATTAGTTCAGAGATGGAACTACAAACACATCGCAAGCGCCAAAACACACACTACTACTCCATTTTAAGCACAAGAAAGACAAGTGAATTTTGACCGATGAGGTATTGTACTGATGAGTTGCATTGCAAGTAGAACTTTGTTTTATTTGCTACTACCGCAGCAAACATTTACATCCAAAAAAGCGTTCCATCCATGCAACTTTGAGGCTGAGGGCATACAGGAATTTCGGGAAAGACGACTGATAGATAATGCAAATTTCTACGGGCAAACTCCCCAAAACACAAAAACTAGAGAGAGGTGTGGGCACAGGGTGGGCAAACATCAACACATCAGACACAACACACCAACACATCGATCACCTGTTATAGTAAATACGCACCATGTATGGTAAACTCCATGCCATCGCCAATGGCCATCTCGAGCTGAGTGTTGGGACTTTTCTTGTCTCTGAATACCAGACCTCCATCTGCTAGGATTTCGTCGGCTCCAAGATCCAGGTCCAGATCTCGATTTGCTGTGAACAGGAGGAAAGCAGTATGAGAAACAGTGCAGGTTCTACGTTAATTAATATATTAGAAAAAAAATAATAATTTTACTCACAATGTGCAGTTTGGTCTGATATTTGGTTGGTTAGTTTGTTTCTGACCATTTTTAAAACATTCGCTACATTCATCTTAATCCAGTTAATAAACCTTGATATCCGGTTAAAAGCCTCAGCGATTTTATTTGTCTCACTGTCCGCCGTGGGGGCGAAGAGATTGGAAGACCCAAAATTGGACAGGAGCAAGGCAAGGAAAAGGTTTAATACGACCAAGTTGCCGATCACTACTGTGGCCAGGAAGAAAGGGATACAAGACCAGTCTCCAACGAGCATACAGTCCCACATTGATTCGATCCACTCTCCACAAAGGACTCGGAAGACAATCATAAACGAGTGCATGAAGTTAATGAAGTTCCACCGCGGCATCTCGCCCCCAGGGAATTTGTCCACATTATCTGAAACAGGGCAAGGCTCGTTAAGGGTGCGTCATCGTCCTGCGTGCTAGAGGCAGCCGCGAGGTAGGCAACGAGAACGCTATGGTGTCGGCGTGTTGCCTACCGCCGGTTTGACAGGCGTTGTTGAATGACACGCATGTTATATGGTGACTTACCGTAGTAGTTTTTGCCGAAGAGCTGCATTCCCATCACGGCGAAGATGAAGATAATGATACACAATACAAAGACCAAGTTACCTAAGGCGCCCATGGTCCGACCCATGATAGATATGAGCAAGTTGAGCGTGGGCCACGACTTGGCAAGCTTGAACACTCGGAGCTGAAACATAAAGACGTGTCATAAACGGAGCATGAAGTTGATGTTAGATTAGAGTGGCTCTTCACAAAACTCACCAAACGGAAGGACCGCAACACCGACAAGCCCTGCACCCCCTCAAGACCGAGCTCAAGCAGAGACAGCGCTACGATGATGAAGTCGAAGATGTTCCAGCCCTCTTGAAAGTAGAACTTTGGGCTCATGGCAACAAGTTTCAGTGTCGCTTCGATACCGAAAGTAGCAGTGAAAAACTGGAGTGACAGAAAGGGAAAGGTATAATGATTTGTGCTGCAAGTAGCTAGATGCAAAAGAACAAACGTGTCGTATCCTTAAGCTGCCAACACTTACGTAATTGCCGCTTTTCAACGCGCTGTCCATAGCTGGATCCATGTCATGGTGATCGAGGGCCATGAAGAGCGTGTTGACCACGATGCAGAGTGTGATAAAAAGCTCCACAAAGGGGTCGAAGACAAGTTGGCTGACGTAGTGCTGGAGCTTAAGCCAGCACCAACAGCAGTCCCACACGCAGAACACGTCGATGCCCCGCAAGGAGGCAGCTATCAGCTTCTCCTTGAAAGTAGGCTCCTCCTCGTCTTCTTCTGTTTGTTGAAAATAATAGACAGACACTGCACGTGGTCTTAGTAAATCTGTTCTGAGCCACTCTTTTTGGGGAAAGAGCTTTGTATTAAGCTACTAAATCAAGCGTCTTTTCAAGAGTACCTGGAGGGCCTCTTTGCGTCTCATACCACTTAGCTGATGACACTAAGTATTAGGGGAAGCGTAGTATTATTACGTTTAGATTAAAATGTTGGAGCTGCGACCAAGCAAAAAAGATAGGGAAATAGGAGATTAACAGTCGTTTTAAACCTGTTTTGTGCTCTACCACCTATGAAAGCAAAAGTGCTTGGAGTTCAAAGTCCCAAGCACCCATCCGATTTTTAATGAGCGAGGAATGGAAGCAGTCACGAAGTAAAACTGGCGCAGAAAGTATGACGGTGCTCGTCTCGATTTTTAGAACTATTGCGTAAAGTGGGGGAAAATTGTGATAATATCCGGTGTATTTTCTAGCATGGATTGAATGTGGTAAAAATTCGTGAGTCGTGTTCTTTCTATGAAAAGGCAAAGGGTGTTATCAGCTAAACTGTGGTCAAACAGTGGTAACTAAGGTCCAAAGGGAAACTCAGGGGGAAACAAAGACAACACGTGCACAAGAAGTGACTGCGATCAGCGTTATCTGCTCTCCAGTCCTGAAATAAACAACTACGATGTTTTTCGCTTTGCTCACGGTTCCATTTATGATGGCAGCATCCCACGAAAATGCTGAAGCCTTGCTGAAATAGTTTCCCTTTGGAAAAAGACAAGAGGACCAGGGATGTGAAAAAATAAAATAAAATAAAAGATCTGAAAATTTTAAATCTTATTTATCGTTAACTGTTGAAATGTTTCTTCTAACAGAAATGAGTATTACTGTTTTTTTCCCGGTACTCCATTACATCTATGTTACTAATTTCTCTAAGTTATTTTGTGAGAAGTCTTTTCGTAATATACTGAGAGTGAGAGAAGCATCGCCCGCATCACCTTCATCGTTTTGAAGAGTACGAGAGTAGCGAAGATGTCAGCTTGAAGAAAATGCTATGGGCGGGACAGCATGTTAAAACCAAACGGTATGGCGCATAGCGATACTTGGTGACAGTCTAAGACATTTCAGGCAATTTGTCGAAATCGCAGACAGTTACCCAGTCAATGAACAAGTTACAGCCTCAGTCAAAGAAGCAAAGAGCACACAACACGATCTACAAAATAAGAAAAACATGCAGATCAAGGACAGAGAAACGTGTCAAGTAACTACCCTACTCTCTATGCTATACACGCCACTCAGTATTAGGCCTTATCAACTTAAGGGAGACAGCAGAACAGCAGACAGGCGCGGATCAAGTTCCGACTGACTGGTGCACGGTCGTTTGCCTACATTCAGGGGTTTTGTGGGGCAAATTGCCTACCTTTCAGGTGGCTCTCTAGAGACCACAGGGGGAGGGGGGGCGCCTGGGGTAGGGCCTGCACCCTCTGTGTTACTATGCTGCGCTTCGTGTGTTTGGGGGGTTGGGATGGGGGGGGGGTCGCCCCTCTCCTCCCGCCCCCCTTAATACGCGCCTGACAGCAGATGCATTATAGACTAATATCTGCTAGAACGATTATAATTCTGCATGTAAATGCGTATTTATGAGTAAAATCACCAGCTCCGGCATCCAGTTGTCCGTCGAAACACAGAGATCGCAGATTTTGAATACATGTGCTGTTCTGCTGTTCTTCCGTCTCCCCTCTTCTGTTGATAAAGCCAAAGTCACCTATCTAAAACAAAGTATATTCTACACTACCAGAAGGCAAAGATTCAACTCTATCGATGGAAATACACGGATAATATATGAAGATTCTAGTATAAGGAAAAACGGGGAACGCGTAGGCAGGGGAAGGCAAATAATTCACAAAGCGGGATAGAAATTTCCATGCAGTCGATGGTTCATACAGCTTGCTAACTAGTTCGAACTGTCGTACAAATCCTTTCCCCAAAACGGCTCTAGCACAGACTTAAAAAATGGTTAGTTTCATGATCATTAACACATATTTACAGTACATAATGTCAATAATGTAATTTGTTTCCTAAAATTTTCATATTTTTGACCACGGGGCCATTACCGAGATCGACAATACAGGTTGGTCGCTGTGCACACTTGGAGCAAATGCGAAAACTAGACCGCACCCAGACGTGTGGATGGGTAGGTCGGCTACAAACGATAGGTGAATCCGCGCGCGCCCATCCCCAACCCATACGGATGGGCTACAACTCTGAAAAATAGTCGTATGTTTACGGGAAAATTTTCCATGATGTGAGTTCGTAAAATTACAATTTGAAATAGTAAAATAACAATAACTTCGTATCGACTTGAAATTCAGAGAGGAGCATAACTGGTCCGTCGTAAATTTACAACATTATTTTGTAATTCCAAATTACAAGAAAAATGTCGTAACTCTACGAGGAAAGTTTTCACAGTACAATACGCGTTTGCGACAGCGCGGGGCACAGCGACCATCCTGTTTATTTAGAATTCGGTTTCGCTATACAAGTAATGTCGCAAAGGCAACAAGAAAGTCAGAGAGCACCTTTCATCAGATCATTGAAATCTGCTATTGCATAAAGAAGAAATTTTCATATATAAACCCGTTCTTTTTCGAATATAAGTTCAACGTACCGAATAGCAATATACAGCATACGTACACCGAAAAAGTACTCTGTTACCGTATAAATGTCTCATCATGCACTTCAAAATTAACTCAGGAACGATTTGTCTACATTGCACTTTCTGTACAGAGTAAGGGGGCATGCCATGTCGACACCTCCTTTGACCGAAAGACACACAGTTCTACGGCGAGTTCCGAACGACACACACTCATAAACCAAGTGTGCAACTGCTTAACCCATGTAAGTATACAACGACAGGTTAAATACTTGCTAGTGCTCAACTGCGTAGTTGCATACTTGCAAGTGTTCAAATCGTTAGTTGTGGACTTGTAAGTGTGCAACTGCCCTGTTCAACACTCCCCACGCAGAAAGCGTCCACTTTGAGGAAGTGTCCAACGTGGGAGTTGCGCACTTACAAATGCACAGCAACTGAGTTGAATCCTGGCAAGTATTTAACCTGAATTTGCACACTTACAAATAAATGTTAAGCAGTTACACATTTGCACAATTTTAAGTTTTTGACTGGATGTTCGAATGCTTTGAAGTGTTCAACAGTAAATTTGAACACATTTAAGCTGTCCAAAGGTTTATGGCCAACCCTGGTGTTGAACACTTCTAAGTGTTAAACTTTACTGCTAATCACTTTATTGGCTGAGCGATTAGCGAAGCCTATAACTCTGAGTGGTCGGAAAAAAACTTTGTCTGTAAGTACGTCTGGCTCTCTGTGTGTCCCAGACGATAACTCGAGAACGAATTGAGCTAGCGACCTGGGATTTCCAGGGTCATCAAAAGACAGATCGATTTCGAAGAGGAGGAGCATTCTAGCTTTT